AGGAATGCAGAAGTATAGCCCAGTCTTCAGAAATTAAAATCTTCTCATAAGCAGTGCAAGTTATGCACTTATAGACCAATAACAAAAACTTCAGCTATAGGATGGGGGCCCATAGCCTGGAGATATTTGAGGAAGAGAGGGACCCAAGTGTGTATTGATTGATTATAGGGTGGCCATGAGCCGTCTGTGGGATGCAGCTGTGAAAAAGCTTATGTAATCTTAAAGTAGATTAGGCAGGATATAGACAACTGAGACAAGAAGGTGTTGGTACCATTCTACAGGGGATTGGTAAAACCCCAATGTACCTATGTGATTATGTTCAAAGAAGGGCCGTTACACTTGTTAAGGGAATGGCAACCTCTTCTTATGATAGGGCAGGGAGTTCTGGCTTAACAGCGTGTGGTGTGAAGTCACATGTTTGTGATCCCCAGATTGAGGTGAAAGCTTGCTCTTGCTGTATAGAAGGAGTTTGGTGATCTCATGCCCCGGGGATTTTGCTGGTTGTCAGTTGGGGCCACGAAAGAATATTTTTCCATCATGAATGCTGCTGGCTTCTGGTAGGTTTTTTTTTCACTTTCCTCTGAAGTACTGGGATATTGGCCACAGCTAAGGCTGTTTTTCCTCCCCTACTGGTACTTATACAACCCAGAGTTTCATGGCTGAAGTGGCTTACTTCTGCTCAGAGTCAGACTGATTGCCACATTTGGGGTCAGGAAGGAATTTTTCCCTTGGTCAGAGTGGCATAGACTGTGGGGATTTTTTGTATTTCTCTGTAGTGTAGAGCCAGGTCCTTTTTTTATGGAGACTGGACTGGATAGCCTGGGATGTTCTTTCCAGTCCTATGTTCCTGTGTAACATGATTGTTGCCAGAACCTTTTGAGATGACTAGACTTTAAACTACATCTTCTTGAGCTAAATGATATTTTAACAACTGTGTTGGCACTTGCTCTAGGCACTTCCTAAATTCACAAATAAATTAATTGAAAATCTACTATTAATTCCTACCACATTTCAAATGGCAGCTCTCAACTGGCTCATTTCTGGTTTTAAGATTCTTTAAAGAAAGCTGAGGCATTGCACCCAATTGTAATGTAGCATAAGTTCTTGCCTAAAATTATTTTTTTAATCCCCATCTCCCATTGTGTCTGAGCTCCTATTCTTTCAAATGTCCTTATGCAGTCTTGGAAGAGGCAAGAGTTCTAAGAGATAGAATTATCTTTTATTGGATCAACTGCAACGTTGGGTTAGACATAGGGTATGTCTATTCCACCATGTAGTTGAACGGCATCACCTCTGCACTACCTTATGCAATCTTCTCATTGACTTCAGTGGGCTGTGTAGATGCTTGTGGAAAAAGCTGGGCTTTGTAGTATATCTAGGATTTGAACAGGGGCAAGGCTCTAAAGAACCACGGGTGGTGGTGGGAGGGAAGGGTTTGTTCTCTTCATTTTTTTTTCCTGTGAAACTGATTATGTATAGAACTGGTAATGCTCCTGAACTGCATACTAGAGCAATAGCCATATTGTTCTGTTGGATTTGATTAATCTAGAGCAGTGGTGGGCAATTGTTTTAGGTGGGGGGGCTGCTTACTAAGTTTTGGCAAGCCATCAAGGGCTGCTTGACAGGCAGCCAGGGGCAGAGAAATATTAATTTTCTAAATTTTTTAGGGGTCCTGCGGGCCAGATGGAATGGCCTGGTGGGTCACATGCGGCCTGCGGGCTGCATTTTGCCCACCCCTGATCTAGAGACAGATGGATCGATTCTTACATGCCTAGATATAGTAAGAACCAGTTTTCTGACAGTCAACTAAAAAACTGTAAACTCAGTGGATAACAAATATTTTTGTGTCTGTGTGTGTGTGCTCTCTGCAGCACAGCAATCATGTTCTATGTGCAGAATGGACATCCTTTCAAAGTCATAAAGGCTTCGGACGTTGCACGGACTCTGCATGTGCAGCTTTTAAAGGAAAAGGCTGACTTCTTGCTTTTTAAAGTTCTGCGGGTTGATACAGCTGGTATGTTCTGAATGATGCTTTCTAGTCTCTTGATTTTTACAGCCATGAAAGTACTAATTGATGCAAGCAACATAGGGATATGGCAAGAGCTTCCTTTATGTACATGGGGCTTGATGTTTGCATTAATTTTATGAAAGATGGTGTAGATCTGAGCTGTCCTACTGGTGGCCACAGGCATTATGTGGCCTATAGGGGGATTAACTAGTAGCCCCTGGTCCGGGTGCTGCTTCCCCCATTACTTTTCTGCAGCTGCCACCAGGGTCTCTGGGTTCCCCCTCTCTGCTCCAGCTTCCTATTTCTGCCCTTGACCCTAGGAGTGGGGTGGGGTGGGGTGGATCAACCTACAGGGCTCACCTAGCCTGTAATCTGGGAAGCTTTGGGAGTTGGGGGCACCTGTGCAGTGGGGAGAGGCCCATGTGTGTGTGGGGAGTCCTGCACAGTGTGACTTGAAGCCTGTGGGACCTGTCGCACATACAGCATGTGGTCCCTGACTGCTCAGAAGTTGGACTGGTGTAGATGTTGCTGCTGCTTGAAATACCAGTCTACCTATGATAGACTTCTGCTAGTTGTCTTCTTTTAAAGAGACTATTGGGGTGCAATTTGATTGTTATCTACCATTTTTATAAACAAAAGCTATACAATAGAAACATTTCCACTATATACTCAAAATTTTGCAATGCTGGGGGACTAGGTAATATCATTAGACTATCTGTGATGTGCTCTTACATGGCTTGTTTTAATCTCTCTGGATGGAACAAACTTTATTATAACCGTAACAGAACTTATCGCATCACTTCTTTCAGAATTCATGAAGTATGATAATAGGGTCTCTTTCTATCTACACTGGCTAAAAATGTTTGGACATTATAACCCAGTGCCTTAATCTGATTACATTTGTAATATAGACTGGTTTGTATTTCTTCATAATGAGATCTCTTTACAATAATGCTTGAGCATCTAGGTCAAACTTCATAGTTCAGTCTCCCATAAAGTAACATGCTTCTGGTAATTTGAATGCTCTAGGACACTAAAGCATTACAGCTATCTATTTGTTGTCATTTCAAATCAAATGATTTGCTGAAGATCAGAAATAATAAAGCAGGAACTTTCTGAGCTCTAAAATATTTGATTTTTATAATGGCTTAGTTTTGAGATCACTCCTTCATGAGAAAATGACAGCTGTTATACTGCAAAATTATTTAAATTATTTTTCACTGTTGGACTGCAAAAAATTGTAGGTGTAGCCTCAGGGGAGGTGAAAATGACCTTTTCTTTTAATTTATGCACTGGATTTATGGTCAAAAGAATGCCACCCTAAGAGCCTACATTGCAATTTGCCCTTTTTTATACTGATAATCTTCACATTTTTGTTTTCCTTTAGCTTGCCTTTTAAAATGTTCTGGACATGGGCACTGTGACCCTATTACAAAGCGTTGTATTTGCTACCAACTGTGGATGGAGAACTTAATTCAACGTTACCTCAGTGATGGAGAGAGTAATTGTGGTAAGTCTGGAAAGTGTTGTGTGTTATGTTCCAAGAACATACATCTGCATTATAGCAGTTTTGTAAGTGTATTACTTGTGGAGCTAGAGAAAAGCAGTAAAAAGAACATGAATGTAGCAGGCTTACCTTTTCGGAGCTTGGGTTGAGTCCCAGGATCAATGGTTTGCTGTTTGATTGCTGGAGCCCACCCACCAATCCAGAGGCAGCACAAGGGAAGCAATGCCCTGCCCTTTTCCGAAGGGAGGGGCCAAGGAGCAGCTGGACCTGATCAGAACTGCACCAGCTTGGTCCGGAAAACTTCAGGGGTGGAGCCCCTGAAGAGTACAAAAGGGGAGCATGCTCAGCAGGCTGGAGAGACGAGGAAGGACAACGAGGAGAGAGGAGCTCCAGAGACGGCCATCCTCAGGACCCTGCTTGATTTTCAGGGGTGCACAAATCAGCGCACAGGGATCAGGCTCTAGGAGCCACTCGAGGCGGCTTGAGCCTGCGAACCCAGCAAGCAACTGGGCATTTGGTGTGCAGATTGGCACACGGAATTATGGCCCTGGGAGCAGCTCAAGGCTGCTCGGGCCCCGCACGGTGTGCAGATTGGCACACAGAGAGCAGGCCCTGGGAGCAGCTTGTGGCTGCTCACATTAGCCCTGGCCCTAGGCCAAGTGACTGGAGCCCCTCAGTGAGGCTCCACTTTTAACTAAAAGAGCCCCAGTGCCCAGAGCAGGGCATGGGAAAGGGGTGAACCCCTGGTGTGAGACCAGGGAGTCGGAGCCTGCAAGGGCTTGGCTCCCACGAGAGAGAGCGAGCCCTGGGTGCCCAGCGCAGGGTGCCAGGCTGTCGAGGAGAGCTGAAGGCACCACTGGGGAGAGGCTCTTGTGGGATTGGCCACCAGGAGATGAGCCTTGACTTCTCCAGAGAGGAAGCATGAATTACTGAGGAAGCGGGTCCTGCAGGGGAGGCTGACACGGGTGAGGGGGGTGTGTTGCCTCCACCTCCCGTTGCGGGAGGAGCGTGTCCACATCCCAGGGCCCTAAAGGGGGGGAGCTTCAGGGAGGTGCTGAGTGCACTCCCTATTTTGAGGTTGTTGTGTTAAGAGCTATATAGCTAAAGGTATTTTTTTAAGGGGGTTTATGTGTTTGAATGGCTCAGTGTCTATATTGGTATTGTTATTTCTGAAGGTTTAAAGAAATATTATAGTTAAGTTACTATCCCTATGTGTTAATTGTGTTGTATAGGTTGTAAGTTATTTGGTTCATATTTGTTATTATATGTGAATTGTGGAATATTATATATAGTATTATATGTTGAGCCTTGTAAATATTCTGTTTTATGTGAGTGGGTTATGCAATCTTATCTTCGTCTCCCCTCTGTACTCGCCTACCATGACTTGGATGTGAAGAAAAGAAAAGGAGATCAGTGTTCTATGAAGTTTAGGAAAGATAAATGCCATCTGGATGTGAAAGACTCACAGAGTTAATTTATTTCCAAAATAAAAGTGATACAATTATAACAATTTCGCCAATTATTTCATTAGCGAGAACAGCCAGTATTACTGAGAAGGACGCTTTGTGCTTGATACACTTTTGAAACTTTGTGCCTAATCTATGCTGCTAATTACCTCATTAGCGGTATGAGCTCTCCGCATCTCTCTTTTCCACGGACGGCTTTGCTGGGAGTGGCTCCCTGCTGTTTCTTCAGACTACCTCTCCGTTCTCAGATATTAAGTGTCCCGCCAGAGTCAGAAGCGCGAGGTAAGCTCCTTTTGGCCCCCATCTCACATCTGAGGGGTACTATCTCTCTTTCTCTCCCTGAGCTCCTGTCATCCTCTTCCTGGCTCCTCACAGTGCTCCTGCACTGACCCGTGCAGCGGGGTTTTCAAAGAGGTAATCCCTTTTTCTTTGACTGACCTGCCGCCTCTCTTGAAGTTCTCCTCTTCCGGCGTTCTTCAAGATTGCAGATCGAGTCTCTCCTCTTCCTTCTGGAGTCTCCGTAGCTTTCTTCTTTGTCTTCTGGTGCCCGAAAGCAAAAACCAATGCCCCGCCACCATCTTCTATCCTGGTTTTCGTGGGCTAATCACCCAATCCTTTCCCAGGTGTACAATTTCCAACACCTGACAGGTTCATCATCGGGTCAGTCCTGCCCAATTCTACGTAACAGGACTCTTGCCTGAGTCCCTGTTAGATTTTATATTAAGCATCTGTATTTCTTCTTATAATAAATTGTACATAGTTAAGTATTTGGTTTTGGCCTAGCTCTGTAGAGAGGGGAGGAAGCTGCTCTAGTAGCTAACCCCTTCCTCAGCACCCTGCCTGACCACCACCACTGTCGTTGGAGCCAGGGCCCCCCCCCCCCCCAGGTGTACCCGGGCTACATGAAGAAAGATTAGGATATTGCCTGTTTGTCCATTTGTTCAGCTATCAGCAGTGTACTAAGAAACTGTACATGACTACAAAATAATTGAGTGCCCACAATATAATACTTGTCCTTGTAATTTTCAGATAATTTTAAGCTATATAGCATTTTATATCAGACCTTCAGATAAAGAGTACAAAAATTGCTGTGTTACTGCTGTGGGACATTAAGTGATTTTTGCCCAGATTGATGGCTTAAGAGGGCCCAGGCTGGACTGAATACAGATGTTCTTACTTGACCTTGGAAGTATCCTGACCAGTACTTGGGTAGGAAACTACCCTGGAACCAGACACATGGAGTCATAGTCATACACTTGATGAATACTATAGAAACTGAATGGGTGGCAAGTCCCATGGTTGCTGCAGAGCTGATGGATGGGATTAAAAGGAAGGAAGGATTGTGTAGTAGGCAGCCTTGTACTTCGGCAGTCCCTCCCAGTCGAGGATGATTGTCTTCCACGACTGTCTTATCTGTGTGTCCAAAGATGGCTGATGAGGCCTATTCAGGATTGACAGACTCTCCTCCAGCTTGGACATGTGTTTCTGTCTGGGGAGGGTGGTGCTGGATTCTTGATCTGATCCACGACATGCTGTTTCTGCTGCTCTTGCTTTTCCATCTCCTGTTGTTGCCATGAGGTTTCAAAGTACTGAGATCCCTGCAGCAGACTTCTCCTCCATTTGGGGTGGTTCTGGGCAATAGTCTCCCACAAGTTGACATCAATATTGCATTTTTTTAATTTGGCCTTGGGCTCGTGCCTGAAGTGCTTTCTCTGCCCTCCTCTTGAGTGTATACCTTGGCTGACCTGGAAAAATGAAACTTGCTTCAGGAGCTAGACAGCCGGATGACATGGGTGGCCCAACAAAGTTGATGTTGGATGATCATCATCTCAGTACTCACAGTGTTTGCTTGCAGGAGAATGCTAATGTCGGTGTATCTGTCTTCTCACTGGATTTGGAGGATCTTCCACAGGCAACACTGATGGTATTTCTCCAACAACTTTAGATGTCTCCTGTGCGTTGTCCATGTCTCAGCTCCGTACAGTAAGGTGGGGATCACAACTGCCTGATAAACCATGAGCTTAGTTTCAGATCTGATGTTGCGATCTTTGAACACCCATTTCTTTTGGCATCCAAAGGCTGCACTTGCACATTTGCGGTGATGCTGGATTTCTTCATCGATGTCAGCCTTCTGCAAGGGATAGCTTCTGAGGTACAGGAAATAGCATCTTCAGAGTCTCACTGTAGATCTGGACTGCTGGAGCTGGGGACTGTTCACTAGGAGCTTAGTCTTCTGAATGGATGGAGGACCTTAGTCTTCTGAATGTTAAGTGTCAGTCCCATTTTCTTGTATGCCTCGGTAAAGATGTTGATGACTGCCTGAAGGTCTGCTTCTGAATGAGGTCACACTAAGCATCATCAGCGTATTGGAGCTCAATGATTGTGGTTAGGGTGGTCTTGGTTTTGACTCAAAGTCGGCTGAGGTTAAACAGCTTACCATCCACTCAGTAGTTTAGCTCCACTCTGCTGGAAGCTTGTTGGTGGTCAGATGTAGCGTTGCTGCAAAGAATATTGAGATGTGTTGGAGCAAAGACACAGCCTTGCTTAACTCCTGTTTTGACCTTGAAGGGATGCGATAGGTCCATTACTGTGAACCACCGCTCACATACTGTTGTGGAGGAGGCAGAGAATGGTGACAAATTTTGGTGGGCATCTGTACTTCAGAAGGATCCTCCACAACACTTCCTGGCTGACAGAGTTGAAAGCTTTCGTGAGGTTAAAGAAGACCATGTAGAGAGGCTTATGTTGTCCCCAGCATTTCCCCTGCAGCTGGTGAGCTGTAAAGATCATGTCAGTTGTGCGTTTTCATGTGTGCACTAAACCCACACTGAGATTCTAGGAGAAGCTCTTCAGCAAGTGGAAGGAGATAGTTCAGGAGGGTTCTTGCAATGATATTTCCAGCCTTTGTACTGCATTTACTGCCACAAGAATCTCCGATTCCTGTTATGATTGAGATTAACAGCACTGGGGTAACACATGAGCATTGAGGCAGGCCTATATTATATATAAAGACTCTAATGTTGCCTGCATAGGGTCTAGTTCAGATGTTAGCTCTAAGCTAAGAAGTACTCTCATTTCTAAAAAATCATTTTTTTTTATTTGAACACTTTCACCATTTTCTTAAATGTCTTTATCTCATCTTTATTAAAGTCATCTCTGGCAGAAGCAGCCTGTCACCAGTTTACCCGTGTGATTTTCTTTGACAGGACTTTCCCTGCTTTGTTAAGCTTACACATTTGATGTCCTATTTAAAATCTTCTCTGTGGTCCTTGGCTTTACAAATCTTTACTGTATTAGACTGTTCGGGTAGCATCAAATGAACCCAGATACGGTCCTGCTCTTCATATTGGAGAGATTCTGAAATTATTCTGCTAAGAAACATGTTTTTTCTTCCTCATCCCACTGATTTCTACAGGACTACTTGAGGAGTGAGATACTGCTGCCCATGAGTACGGGTACTGGAAGCTGAAGCCATATATGCATGTCTACCAGAAATCTAAATAAATAAATAAATAAATAGCACACTGGGTCCTGATCATGATTAGAGACTCTGGATGCAACTGTTGTCCAAATAATAAATAAGCATCAGCAATGGTGTAGTGATGCAGCTGGATGCCCAGGTGCCCAGGGCAGCAGTGATTTCCAGTTGCTGTTGCATCACTGCTGTGATCATGTGGCTGCTAGCGGCAGCCATTATTTTCACCCCTCAAATCAGCATCCAGGGTAGTTGCTCCAGTTGCCTTACCCTAGTTACACCACTGAGAACCTGAGAGGATTATAGGGCTTCCTTTTATTTTGCCTCAGACCCTATATCAGATTTTCTGAATTCACAGATCAAGATTCCTAGCATCCAACAAAATAGGCCGTTGCTTACAAAATCTTATTCCTCTCTGAAATAGTTAGTCCCTACAGTGCCACCCTACATTACCTTCTGCCACATTAAGAGTTAGAGTGTAGTTGCAGAAGAAGGCTATTGCCGGTTATCAGTCCTATCAGAGAGCTGTACAATTTAGAAGGTGGCAGAGAAGTTCATGTTTGTAACACAATTGCAGAAAACCCACCTTGAATTTCAGATTTCAGGTGGAATTTATTGAGCTGGTAAGGAAAAAAAAAAACCCAATACTTATCAAAAGAACATGTTTGATCTGGAAGACGAGCATGGAACTCTTTGGCTATTATTTTTATTTATTCTCTTCTGAGAGAAGAACTGAACTTCAGGTGCTAAGATCTCTCAAATTCTAATTATGCTTAAGGTAAAGCAAAGCCATTCCCTATCTTCCAGGATCATCTGTTAAGACAACTGCATTAAAATAATCCCATCAATACCACTCTGCTCACAGCTGTCTCTCCTTTTTTGTCCTCCAGAATGGAGTATACTCTATGTAACAGTATCTGCCTTCATTTTGGTTGTGCTCACAGTTGGGCTAGCCTGGTTCTGCATCTGCTGCTGCAAAAGGTACGTAGATAACTGTTTTGAAAAAAACTGCATACTTGTGACATCGCTACAGGTTGTTTGTACTTGTAAATCAATTTCTTAGCCTTAAGCAACTCTTTGCCACCTGCAGATATTTCTTTCTGGCCTTTGCTCTAAGTACTTCTCTACATACTTTAACCGTACAGTTACAAAAAGTATTCCTGGAATCATGTTCTTGTCACCTAATAACTAACGTATATCGTAACCCACCAGCTGCAAACATATATAAGATCTTCATAGTCTTCTACCAAAGTCCTCACCATCCCTCACAGCAAGGGAAAGGACATGAGCATTGCTGTTTGCCCTGAAGGGCACCAAGTATGGGTTATTTTAGACCTGAGAGAAAGGCATCAAACCCTCCCTTGTGAAGAAGTGGACTTAACTGATGTCCAAGGAGCCAGTCTGGAGAAAGTGTGCTAATGTCCTACATCTCTGGGGCCTTTCTGCTTTTGACAGTGTAGTTTACCTCATTTGTGTTTTTTTCCCAATGGTTTTCATATGAATCTCAGCAAGATGATTAGAAATTCTGTCCCAAATAACCCAGTTTTCCCTAGTAGTTCTTGTCATTAGAACAACTGCTTTGTCAAACAGACTAGCCAAGAGGCTATTTGTGTTGATGTAACAAAACATTAATTGTCTGGGTTTTTAGTTTTCTTCGCTATGAAATCTTTTTGTGATATGGACAGGATACTATCTGAGAGGATGCCTGCCTTGTGTTTTTTTTTCTATGAAATGTGGGAGGGAGGGAAGGTTTATTTGCCTCTTTGAAACTATCCCCATTTACTTAGCACTCCACAAAAGGGACCTGACTGATGCAATAATCTAGGTAAAGAGAAGAGGCAGAAACTAGGCAGAGCAGAGATTGGGGTGCTTTTGGTCTTGTGAAGCTTACAAGAAGGTGACATGACTTCTATTGATGTGGTTGGTTTTCTAGGTAGTTTGAGCCACATCCCAGATTAGGTCTACCAATCTGAAGAGTGTAGAGTCCAAGTTATTTTATCCCTGACAGCATCCACTATGTACTTATCAGACACAAAGGGAGTTGGCTTTTGTCTTGAGGAGCTTACAAAGTAAAAAAGACACAGGTGGAAAAAAAGATTAGGTGGAAGGGATACAACGCATAAGCCAAATGACTGGGGGGTGAGGGGTCAAGTGTGCATCATATTAGATACCCCCTTCCACCATTCAGCTTCTTCATCCTTTTGTTCCCTTCTTTCAAACATTCAGCCCTTTCTTCACACGAGTAATAGATGAAATGCATGCAGAGGTGACCGTCTGCAGGCATTGTCAAAGACATATAATTGGAAGAAATTAAGAGGAAATGTTAATTTTGCAGACTGGGTCAGGAGGGAGCTCAACACATAGGACATGGCAGAGAAATCTCCATTAGATGGCTTGTAGCTAAAGATGGGCCCAAACAAAGTTGAGCAGAAATGCAAATCTGAAATGTGCAGGTGATCCCTATCGAAATCTTTGATCCAAAGAATCAAAAGCTCTGATCTGCAGAGTTTTTTGATCTGCAGCCAAATAGTGTGTTTCAGGCCTGTGGCAAGACACTTAGGGCACCTGCCACTTTAGGAGCTGAAGCAGCCTGTGGAGCAGACAGCAGGTGTGGGCCAGGGTTAATTGTGGAGTCAGCTGACCCAGGGAGCCTGCAGGCATAGGTGGAGGGAGAAAAAATTTGTGGGGGGGGGCACTGAGCATATGCCTCTGCCTCCCCCGAGCAGGTAAGTCTGTGGGGGGAGGGGAAAGTGCTGTGGGGCAGGGGACGAAGTGGGGCTGGGGCAAGCCCTGCACAGCCAGGGTGGGACAGGGTGCGGGATTGAGCCGTGGCTCATCCAGAAGGGTGCGGGAAGGGAGGGGGGTGGCTCCTGCCACTGCACACGCCCTGGGATGGCGCGGGGGGTGTGTGCCCCCAGATCTGCGTGGGGTGGGGCAGGCTGTTGCTGTGGGCTGGGGCTGGGGCTGGGCCGGGCTCTTCCCAGTGGGGGCTAATTGACACTGTGCTTGGGGTGGGCAGTGGCAGTTCTGGGAGGAGTTGGAGGGGCTACAGTGAATTTTGGGGTGGCTGCAGCTCCACCCCTCCATAGTCCCCCTCCCACCACTGCTGCTGCCCACCCCGAACACAGCCCAGCCCAGCCCTGCCCTGATGGGAAGAGCCCTGCACTGCCCCGGTCCTAGCCCGCAGCAGTCTCCTGCAGAGGTCCCCCATGCCTCCAGAGTATGCATAGCAGCAGGAGCCACCCCTCCAGATGAGCCACTCACAGCTCAGTCCCATGTCCTGACCTGCTTTGCAGCGGTTGCCCCAGCCCCACTCCCTCCCGCACTGCTGCCTGCACATCCCTCCCTACCCCTGCTGCAGTTGCTGGAAGCACACGGCCCATTAGCTCCCTCTTCCCTATGCCTGCAGGTGGTACTAGGGCTGAGTGATGGAGTCACGTGACTGGAGGAGGGCTGGGCCTAGGCAGGATATAAGCCCAGGCCCTGAGAGCAGAGCTGGCAGTAACATCTTAGAGACTGCTGGGTGAACATCTATGGAGCAAGACGGTTGCAGCTCTCCAATGCCAGCATGGAGATAACATCAGAAGCAGTCTGGAGATTTGGGAAGGAAGTATGGGGGTGGGGGAGATTCCTGTGGGGCCAGGAGCCCTGAGAGAGGAGCTGAGTATAAGAGGGATTCAGCTGTGTTTATTGGACCTATTGAGGAGTCTAGGTGAGCCCAGAGCTGAGTATATGGAGGCCTATTGAGGGGTCTGGGTGAGCCTAGAGAGAGAGAGAGAGGCTGAGAGGGAGAGGCCTATGGAGGTGCCTGAGAGTGAGACCCACAGAGGAGAGAGGGCTGACCCAGAACCTTGACTGGCCTGTGTGGGGCCAGGGCCCAGGAGGGGCCAAAAGATTAAGAGACCACTACAGAGATTGCCAGAGCCAGGGTATCTCAACTGGACCTAGGCAGGGCCAGGGCCCAGAATAGGCCAAAGATCCATGTGTGGCCACAGCCAGAGAGGAAGGGGTCAAGGGGCATGCAGCCTAGGATGAAGATGGTTGATACAGGGCCATCTGAGGAGATGGGCTCGAGAAAGGGGTCTGAGAAAGAGAGCTGGGCCCAGGGGTTGTGGAGGTGAGATTGAGCCAGGGCTAGCAGGCCTAGAGGCCCATAGCCCAGGTTGGTCAATGAGTAGGGCTGGAAACCCACAGCCCAGGAGGGGCATATGACATCGGGGGGAATCCAAGAGAGGCTAGGATACTTAGAACAGGTTGGTCCTGGGCAAGACCTGAAACTGCACCCTACTGTGGCTGGTTAGCGTGGCGGGGCTGCCTGTGGTGGGGCAAGCTCTGTGAAATGCTATTCGTGGGCCACCCCAGGGAAAGGCGAGTATGGGGCACCTGGAAGTCTCAGCTTCCACTGACTTGTGGGTTACCCAATGGAGAGAGAAGGCTAAGGGACCATACCCTAGCAGAAAAGGAAGAGAGAAATTGGGATCAGAAGGGTCCAAAGGCCCAGAGAGGGACCGGGAAAGAGGGGGACAAGAAGGGCCAAGGGGCCCAGTATAGGGCCTAGAGAGAATGGAGCCAGAGGGGCCCAGAGATGGGCTGGGAAAGGCTGAGACCAGAAGGGTCCAGGGGGCCAGGAAAGTTTGGGGCCAAAAGGGTCCAGGAAGAGACCAAAGAGGTCTGGCAGCTCAGAGGGCCTGGGTGAGAGACCGAAGGGCCTGGCAGCCCAGGGAGGGGTTGCATGAGACACCAAGGGGTCTGGGTGCCCAAAGAGAGGCTGAGGAGTCTGAGGTCCCCAAGAAGGGCTGTGTGTGTAAAGAGAGAACATCAGTGAGGATGACATCTGCGAGGCTTGGGGCATGGTGTAGGGGTGGAATGGAGCCATGCAATTGTCCCATAAAGCCTTGACCCCAAACCTGGTGGTCATCACAGTAAGACTCTAGGGCAGCTTCCTGTGTTTCACTAATGATTAACATCAAGATGTGGTGGTGAGAGAAGGACAGACTGCCCATAGAGCAGGGTACAGAGAATTTTTTGGCCTTCGGGGGCTTTATAGCCACCCCTGGAGATGGTGCTCGGTGACAAGGCCTACCACCAGTTATCGCAGAAAGCTTTTTTTCTTTTCTAGGTATGCATAGCAGGTTTTGTCCCTTCTTTCTGCACACAAGATTTACACTCGGTGGCCTGGATTTCTACTCCTTGTTAAGCTGGTGCAGTCAGAACTGACTTTTGAAATCAGTGGCGGTATACGTAGATATTTTACGAGAGAGAAAATTTTAGCCTTATTGGTAGTTCTGTATGTGTGTAAGGGAGAGAGCATTTACCGTGTGTGAGAACTTTATTTACTTGTGTTAACTTTCCTTTTAGCAGGAAGAGGACAAAAATAAGGAAAAAAACCAAATATACCATCTTAGATAATATAGATGACCAGGAGAGAATGGAGTTAAGACCTAAATATGGTAAGTTGTCTTTTTTTTTTTTTTTTTTTTTAAGATTGGGGCTCCTTTTAGCAGTAAGCCTACATTCTTGTGTTCACCTTAATTTTAAAGTAAATTACAAATTTTTCCTTTACCCAATTTTTTCCTTCTTGAAAGGAAACATGAAGTATTTTGTTTACACTGCATTTTCCACATGGCCTGCAAATGCCCCATTTAACTTCATTGGTTTTTGGAATGTTCCCTTAGTTCTCATTACATTTTGAAGTGCTGGGGGGGGGCACTTTGAATTTAATTGGTTAAAATCACTCCAAATAACAGACATTCTAAAGCAGTAATAAATTCATTGAAAAGCATAGACCGTTCATTATCAGCTAGATCCATCATATAGTTGCCTGTGTGGCTAGATACAATTGATAGATTCAATAAGACCTGGACAGGATTGTACTTCATGCTGAGATGCTTTAATTGAACTGTAAATATCTATGTATAAAATAAGGGCAGGACAAGGAACAAGTGATCTGAGCCTCCTGGGTACCTGCGGACATACAGGATGGCTGCTCCGATGCGCTGTAATTACAACATGTTGGAGCAGACTTGATTAACTGAGTCTGCTGGAGCATGCTAATTAGTATGCTGTAGCAGCCTCGACATCTCATGTATTCAGTGTCCCTCACGTATTCAGTGTACTTCAAAATGGTAGTGAGAGTGCTTTAACTAAAGCTCGTCAAATGAGCTTTAGTTAAAGTACCCCTGCCACCATTTTGAAGTGCGGGACACTGAATACACAAGATGCTGCAGGCGCTTTAATTAGAGCAGCTCCTGAGAGCCGCTCTAATTAAAGCGCCCTGCCCCCCCACTCCCAGAGCACATGTAAAGACGACCCGAGTGATATAAATGATGTAGTTCCACACAAAGGCCCAGGGAATATCTGGCCTATGATATTCAGTATCTGCTAGAGAAATAATTTAACATGGGAAGTGGGAACAGACAGTTCATTATATTATAGCACAGGTTCACTTAGCTTGTGCAACACTACATGGGAAGGAGGTTATTAAGACTGTCCAAAGAGCCTTTTTATTGTTGGTTTTCAGGTATAAAACACAGAAGCACAGAACACAATTCCAGCCTGATGGTGTCAGAGTCAGAGTTTGACAGTGATCAGGACACTATTTTCAGCAGAGAAAAGATTGAAGGAGAGAATCCGAAGAACATCATGAATGGCTCCATCAAAAATGGTGTTTCCTTCAACTACAGTGCAAAAGACAGATAATTGAGTAAGGGTGAAAAGAAAGGACACACCAGTCTGATGCACCAAGAAAGTGTTGATCCACCTTTTATTTTTCAAAATCAAAAGCTTCCTAAAGTATCTACCAATTTCAGCTGAAGGGGAAATTTTCAGCAGAGTCGAGGGGGGATTAGACAGCAAAGCTCCTGTTGTCATGGTTGTAGGAACAAGAAGCACATGTAATTCCCTGCATGCTCTGTGCTGAACGTTTATGTCTAAATTTCTGAAGACATTTTCCTATCTTAGACTTGTGAATCACTGCTACCATCCTATCCAGGACCGTTACTAACAGTGATGACTGTGAGACTCTGAGCTATATTTGGCTTGTATCTGTACTCCGTCACTTGAAGGAACACGCCGATTATGAAGCTGACCTTGACAATTAAAGCCAATGTGCAGAATTTCCCTTGCGTCTGTAAAGAGCGGTGTGTAACTGTGAGTTTCATCTTCATATATGGTTTCTGAATTGGATACAGAAAAGGGAGATCCATAAATAGCATCTTTAGTACATAGTATTACCTCCAAGCTCTGCTTTGTGACTATGGTTTTTAGGGTAGCACTTGTGAAGTGAAAATGCCTTTGTTTTTAAAGGCAGCTGACTATTTAGCAGTTGTTCTTTAATCAGCTGCCAGTTAATGTGATACATTTTGTATCCTGTATAATGGAAATGTCCCTTATATTTATGCTGAAGATGTGATGGCAGCAGAGAAATCCTGTCTGCTTTCTTCTGTAATAATATACGAAGAGAGTTCCCCTCTGGACCTGAGGAGCTGAAAGGGATACAGAGACGCCTCCTGCAATGGGCTGAACACCTTAAACTTACTTTGATTGTAATGGGAGCATGAGGACCCTATCAAGACTGAGTGCTTCATGCACATAAATTAAGATGGAAGTTGCAATATGGCTTGTAATAAAGAATTGGAATGTCTCAAGCCTTAGCACAATGCAGTGAACAGTGTTAAGGCTTAGTTGCTACATGGCTGCATGTCTTGGGTCAGGGAGATTTTTTTAATGAAAGACAAAACTGTTAACATTTTGATTTTGCTACTCTTAATTGTTGTGCAGCACCTGGGCATTTTCTTTATGGGTGTTATATTAGACACTAATGCCCCATTGCCTCCTTGAGATCTGTGTTAGGGGGACCCAGTTTATCTGGAGGACTCCTCTATTTGTGGATGGAGGGCTGAATACATCTGCTTCCATGACACTGTCTGCCCTTTTCTTGTTCCTCTTCATTAACTAGGGAAGACTTGGCAGGGGCTGGGAAACTTCCCTCATGCAGGACTTCAGAAAAATTAAAACCCTAATTACGGAGGAATCCAGCAGTGCAGAAAGCCTGGGCTGTGTAGTTTCAGTGGAGCTTCACTGCTGATGAACAGGGGCTCCAAGAGTTGGCTCAGAGGCACAAGGGTTCTCTGTAATTCAGGGAGTGGGACCTCTTCATGTGGAAGGAACAATTTGTAGGAAATGTATGGAGGTTCCTAACCCAAGGCGTTATCTGCTGGGGTGGAGAAGTAAAATAAATGGGTATATGTATGGAAAAAGTGCTGTTGCATTGAACTTCACGACTTCTCTTCTTGGCTTGCTTCCATTCATGGAGTTGGGTTGGAGGGACATGAAAACAGCAGCAACATAGTATGTTGTCTGCATTTTCCCTGACTGTGCTCCTCCAGATCCATGTTGGCCTATAACTTCCTTACAAAAACGTTAAAGCAATGACAATTAGCATTTCCCCCTGCTCCATAATGATACCCTTCTCAGACAAGACAGCTTGGGCACAGCAGTGAAAGAAGCCAGCATGTCAGGCAAAAGGTGATTACTATTGGAAGCTTTTTCAGCTTATGCTCTTTGTTTACTTTTCACCTACTTTCTGCTCAGCCTAGAAACATAGACAGTACGGTTTCTGGCCCCTCTCACTTTTTATTCCATCAGCATTCATGCAGTAGTGCATTTTTGGGTTGTAAGCAGTCCAGGGTAGGTGGGCATTCAAGCAAACCAAATTATATTAAAAAAAAAAAAGTTTTGGCCAGTCTGCTACTCTCAGTGCTCAAGTTCTGTATTTGTTCTACAGAAAATGACTCTTTGCAGATCTATGTGTTTTACGAACTAGATAAAATTATGTGAACAACCATGACCTTGTATCAATCAAATATAAACATCTCTTTTAAGTTTATGCATATTGGCACAGTTGTCAGCATCCATAAAACAAAACAAAACAAAACAAAAAAAGAACAACTGAAGGTGCAGCTGAGTTTTGTAAATTTAGTCTTTTTTGCATTGGTTTTATTTTACTATTTAATGCCTAGTGCTCAGGCCTGCAAAAAGGCTGCACAGAGGGTTAAACTGTAAAGGTAGTCATCCATTGCTTGAAGTCCAAGGTTCAAATGTGTCTTAGGTTTCTAAATGAAAAATGTTTTATGGTCTGAAGCATGCTTCCTAGTGGACATTGTTCAACATCACAGTCACCACAGTTCTAGAAACACCACCTCTTCTTTCCTACCCTCAGAATCATTTCTGGAAGAAGTTCAAGTGCTGCGAGAGCATTTTTTTTTTTTTTAGCTTATTCAAGTACTTCCACCTCCAGCAGGTGGGAGACAGTAGACTGTACGGTTTAGGACCTCTTAATTACCTTTTTGCCTTTTGTTTCTTTCCACTTGAATTCACATGCAATTGCTAGCCACTTTTATAGCTCACAACCTTAGTTAAAAATGATTTTTTTAAATAGTGAATTTCCAAGGTGTTATTAGAGGCACTGGCTTGCAGTTCCAGCAATTTAACCTCATTCATCAAGTTAGAAGTGAAAAAAGGAGAAAGGCAACATAGTAATTGGGCATTAAGATACACTATCTTGCAGATTATTAGGCCTAAAAATGCATGCCTGATATTGAAGGAAATCTGAAACTTCCTGTGGAGTCAGGAAGAAATACTTCTCTGGCTCTGAGTATTTGCGATATCAAACCTTAATGTTAACCTTTTATGGTCCTTCAGTCTAGCATGACTTGTTTGCAAGCATATCTTTATCTACATTCTTTAACATTTTTAAGTAGCAAGCGCAGTGTATATATGAGAAGGATCTCATGATTGTTACTGTAATTTAATTAATAAGCCTACATGTGAACTGTTGCATAGTGAGCAATACATACCTACTCACAACATAGATCTGTCCAGCTATAAACAGACCAACAGCTTTTATCATGGCAGGCAAAATACTAATGTTGTACAAGAAATTTAGCAGGACAAGTCTGACAAAATAAAAATAACCATAACGTTTCTTTTCTATTTCAGCTCTGGTATTGAAGGAGCTGTTTGATATGGGTTGATTAGTGACACAATTAAATCAGAGTAACCCAGTTGTTGCTGAATATGTAATGAAAAATCAATCTTCCTTGCTTCATACTTACTTGTAAAATAAGCTACCATCTATCTTTTGTTACAAAAAAGCTATTTTACCAGCTTTACTGTCCAGTGCACTGGATACATCTGCTTCAACCCCCCCACTCGCATGCTACTAAAAATGCTAGCCAACCTCCTATCAGTGGATTGTCTTGAGGAAACATAAGGGGACACAAGTAGGGGGATGAATCTGATCTGCAAAGGGTTTAGCAGAACAGGGTGTACTTTCCAGTAGCAGACCCAGAAATGGGGCAGGGAACTGTGCTACACATGGGCAATGCACTCTGAACTCCCTTCCTGGTCAGTGTGGGCTCCTGCTAGAGCTCCGTGCTAGCACTGAGTTCAACTCACCAGCTGATCTTGGTGGGATGTGGCTGGATTCCTTGCTTTCACTTAGTTCTGGAGCCCAAGGGGTAAATACTGTTTGCCCTTCCCTACCCCAGCAGCAGGGGAAAGGAGGCCAGAGCTGTGCAAAAGCAGGGGCTCCGACCAGACCTGATGCTGAGAACTCATGTGCAGCACAGCTGAAGTGAGGGGACTGCACTGCCACACCTCCTCTGGCACTTTCTCCCTTCTTTGTTTGGCTCCTTCAAACCTGAAAGCAGTGCAAAAATGCCAACACTTACCTTTTCTCAGACAGCTCTGGCATTCTTCAAATCCTTCAGGCCCCACTTATGTAAAATTCCTGTTGAAGTTAACTGAAGATTATTGCCTGACTAAAATGATTGTGGGTTTTGGTCTCTTTACATGTTGAAAAGTTAATGAACTTATTATTGTCCTTGTGTTTGGGGTTGGGAGGAAATGAAAACTATTTTCAGAGTCATCTACTGAACAGTCTGTGGAACCCTGGTGAGAAAGGGATGGAGGGCGAGCCTTTTTTTCTAGGGGAGAGAAACTGGAATAGAAGGCAGGTAGGAAGGTCCTAAAGCACAAAATTTGTACCCTAGGATTGTTATTAAATTTCCTCATCCTATACAAATGTAGTGAGACATAACCCATTTCAGATGCCTTTGGGTGCCAAGGTACCAGAAGGAATTGTCCCAAAGAAACCATGAAGATACTTAAGGTGGGAAAAAAAGAAATTCCTGCAGCACAGGCAATGACTTAAGTGCAAGTGAGGCATGCAGCAGTACTTTGCCTCTGTACGGAAGCATGGCTTCCTGCGTGTGGATGGGTGAACAATTGTAGATTTTATAATAGGAACCTATCTCTAGAAAATGTTGTTTATTGCAAATGATAATGTATTGTAACTGGAACCAGTTCTTAGCTGATACTATTACCTTTATGTTACCCTCCTAATAAAGATTTGTCTTTCCTTCTGTAATGTTGTCATCTGTTCTCCTCTGCAAGACACTTTCTTCTATGCCATATGAGGTTCAGGCTTGAGGTCAGAGCAAGATAATGAAAAAAATTACCTCCTATAGATTGTTCTGTCTGTACTCAACCTGCAACTATTATGGTTTAATTGTTTGTGACCTCTTTTTCCTCTGATTGCCACAGAAAATGCATTTTCTGTGAGAGGGAGGATGTAGTTCAGTGAGATGAACTGGAGGACAAGAAGTTGGAAACTCTTAAATGCTCACTGCAGCTAACATCAAGGGCTTTACTATCCTAGACACAGTTGATGTGTGTTTCTTTTAAAGTCAATACTGTCTAATTAAAAGCTGTTTTTTTTTAACATGAGATTATTTATTTCAAGAAAAATGAAATATCTCAAGTCAGCCTTTGCACTGAGAGCTTGATCAAGGCATCACATTCCAGGTAAGAGGTTGTAGTTATTTTGTGGTGGTATGGGAGGCAGCCTGTAGAAGAGTGTACATTTGAAAAGAAGCACAAATCTGCTTCCCCATTTACTAGCAGGGGCTTTAAAACTCTCAGGGTAGGAAATGGATTTTGTGCTGTGCCCAGCTGCAAGAAATTTGGTCTTGGCTATGAGAAGTGACCTCAAAAACAGTTGTGCAGTAAGCTTCCACCCACTTAATCTTATTTTCAGATAATGTTTTCAACAAGGAAAGCAGTGATCTAATTACATACAGTACAAGTTCAGCACATCCCTGAAAATCAATTCCTTTCCAGATTGTCATCTATAAAAATAATAGATTGAGCCAAGTTCTGCCCTTGTTTACACTGTTGTACCTCCACTGCTTTTAGGGAGGCTCCATGTATAACTAGTGTAATGGATGGGGTTACATTTGGTCCTGCATCTTAGTTCCCTTGAGGAACAAGGACCATCAAGCATGTGTGTTTGTGTCTCTATACTGAAAAAAATAAATAACTGTCCCTCCTTGTTGCTTCCATTCATCATCTCAGCAGTCAGTTGTGACTGAATATGCACTAAAAGCAGAATGATTGAGGAAAAAGGAGCCATTTCTGCAGTCACTTTTCAGAGTGGAACCATGTTTTCAGGCATGAATATACTCGCATGATTAGGGTGACCATATAATTTTTAAGAAATCTGGGTTACTGCTCCACCCCACCTCCAGGTAGCGGTGCTGCTGTAGGTAGAGGCACGCGGGCAGGGGTGCGGGGCACAGTCCAGCATGGAGGTGGTGGGGGTCACTGAGCAGAGCACATGGTGCTTGGTGTATACCATGCCGCTCTGCCTCCCTACCAGACTGCACCTTGCCCCTGCAATTCTGAGACTTCTATTTTAATTTTCACTAACCAGCCAGGTCTGACCTACAAAATCCAGGACTGTCCTGGCCAAGCCAGGAAGGATGTATGGTCACTCTACACATGATCAAGTCTTGGGGAGAGACCTTTCTAATTCTTTTCAGATTTCTGAGAAAAGGATACTTGCACTGAAAACACAGGAGACAAGCTGACTTCAGCTGTGAGTTTTAAATGCCATACTGAATTCTCTATGTACTTTGTTTTACAAATCTCTCATTTGTACAAGAAACAAAATATCCTTCAAGATGGAAAAACCTCATAGGCCTTCTAAAAAACTGTAGAACCAGATTAATTTCCTATTAATGCCTTTAATGAAAGCACCTCTCTGAAGAAGTTAATCTATCAGGTGCTACCCTGCCCTCTACCCAGCATCAGGCTAACATGACAAACTAACTCTCTTCAAAATGTTAGTTACAGCCATTTGAACTCCTTACTCCTGGGATTGCCATATTCCCAGCATCAGCATGAGATGCTCAGAGCCTGGATTGAGGAAGTGCATGGACTTGCACAGCCCTCTGCCCAGTAACTGAACTGTACATCTATGAGGACAGGTTCTGCAGGGTAATGGATATGCAGCAGAGTACTAGCTATTTATAAGACGTAAGACACTGCAAGGTACAGTGGAGCACAATAGGCCAGCTATCCTAAGCAGACTTGGTCCAAGCATGTTGGCCATGTTTTCACTGTTTCACTGAATGCTGCACAGTAGAGCGTTATACTTTGCCCTGCGCCTGCAGCACTGTTTTAGGGAACCACAGAATCATGAGCTTTCTCCATTTATTTTGCTCAACTGAGCTAAGCTGCTGAGGTTGTGTGTGCTGGCAGGGAAACTGATTACCTGAAATGACTTGCCAAGAAAGCACTTTCACTGTGGCTAACAATATTCTTGTGCCTAATTAGGCAAAAGAAAGGCAGTCCTAGAACTACTTGGGATACAGTGTCTATGGGCATTTATACACGTGCTCTGGAAGTGGGGTGGAGGGGGTGGTGCTTTAATTAGAGCAGCTCTGAGAGCTGCTCTAATTAAAGTGCTCGGATCGTCATGTATATCAGCATCCTTGTGGTGAAAAATGGTGGTGGTGGCGCTTTAACTAAAGCTCGTGGAGAGGGGACAGGTAGCACAACAGCAGATAGGGCAAGAAGCAGAAAGCAGATCAGGCAGAGGATGTGGGGCCGATTTGTGGCACATCTGCCAAAAAAGGTCAGCCCTCACTGCTATAGATAAATACAGCAGAGAGAAGAAAAGGTAATGACAATGTTGGCACAGAAGAAATGGTTATACACTGGCCATGAAAAATTTAAGCTAGAAATTAGAAGAGGTTTTTAACTACAGAGGGGCCAAAACCCCCCTAATAAGTCTAAAGGTAGGACTTGATAAATTTACGAACAGACTTATAGAAACAACAGTGTCCTCTTAGCAGGGGAATGGGCTCAAAAATGTTGGAGGTGAGGTCCCTTCCAATTTTATAAGTGTCTGTAAAATGCTTGATGCAATGACACAAAAATGCAAATGACTGACTTTCAAAGTGTCATACCTTTTGAGAGTTGCTCTTGAATTCAACTCTATTTTACTTTCAGAGGAGCCTCTGTGGGTGCATCTACACATTCATTAATGTGCCATAGCTACTGCACATTTAATTTAGTACTTTATGAAGCACTAATTGAATGTGCAGTAACTACATTTACTGTGCAGTAACGCCGGCGCAGTTTTTTGTGATGCTTCTTGTGCAGTAGCCTAATAACACTGCACAGTAGTGTATTAGCACGGTTTTTGACCGGCATGCTACTCTGCAATGTTGTTAGGCTACTGTGCTGTAAGCGTCTCATGTAGATGTGCCCTGTATGTAGATGCTGTGTATTTTTTCTACTGCTTGGTTTATCTGATATAAAGGATTTTGAACCATAAAATAAGTGTTGGCTAACAGCCAAATCATCAATTTAGCACAGAAAAAAACATGAATGCCACATACCTAATACTTTCCTAGAAGTTAAGAATTTTATTACCTGAAAGCACAGCTGTTTTACTAAGCAGCATGTATTTTTTTTTAACAATTATGCATAATAAAGAACTGGAAAAGACTAACCTGGCACAAATTAGTTGTACACATAATTGAAATGTAAACATTTAAATATGACTCTTGTTAAAGGATCACAGCTTTTATTAAGAGTACAATATTGTAAGAAAAAAATAATCTGTGCTCATTCTATACATATTATTTACATGAGAATATTATGGGCTAACTCACCGGAATCCAACTTGGGAGGAAAAACTTGGCAAATTAACTGAAGGTATCTCCTTTCATATAGTAAAACTTTTGTGCTTGTCACATTTTAAAGGTATTTTGTGCAGGATAATGATTATATATTCACTACTTTTGTCTTTGTTCTACCTTTGTAAAAGGCACACCAAGACCCCCCCGGTTTGTGATACTACTGCTTAGCACACAAACGGATAAGGTAAGCTGTAAGTGGGAGCAGGCTTACTCCTCAGGGCAGTGTAACCTGTATTTGTGCGCCTCCAAACAACAGTATTCAAGTGACTACTCTCAGGGATGTACAGACTTGGACAGCAGCTACTGAATGCATCTCTGTGCAATGCTTTTTTAAATTAAAAGTGGAAAAGTAAACCATCTTGCAGTATATGCTCCACTTCCATGTGTGCTATAACATGGTACACACAAAGTAAGGGCACTCTCTGTGTTCAACTAAGATATTTTAACTAGTTAAAACAAACTTTTTCCAGCTAAGGAAAAGGACATCTTATTTCCTTTATTACCTCTATGGGCATATCCTGTAGCTGATCAGCTATTGTAAATGCCTCAGTGACTTTGTGTGTACTGCATCTGGATCTTCTGCAGGAGCAAAAAGTGTCCTTTCAACCCCCCCTGGTGGCATAACTTCAGTATGAAGCACTCAGGCATTTTACATTGGCACTAAGGTATGAGCTCCAGCCATGATAATGTCCGAGGATCCTGGTTTTCTCCGATTAAAAAAAAAAAAAAAAAAAAAATCCCCAATTTTTAGGTTAAAAAAAAAAAGGAACCATGGTTTTTGGGTTATTTTTTTAACAAAAAAATTGGGGATTTTTTTTTGAATATCAGAGAAAACTTGGGTTATTTTTTTAACAAAAAAATTGGGGTTTTTTTTTTGAATATCAGAGAAACCCAGGATCCCTGATAATGCCATACAAACTAAATAATAACAACAATATTAAAAAGCCACGTAGTATTTTACAGCACTCTGTGTGTGCACTTTAGAAGTCTGCTGTGAAGCTCTGCTCCACTCTGCCAATCTTAAATCATTCCCAAATTCATACTTCCCCTTCCTTTGCATAACTGAATGTATATTGTACAACAGCCTGCTTAATAGTGTAATTAGACTGAGGGAAATTCAGTGTAGATAGGGGGAGGCTGGCTCACTGTAACAACTATAAATGCCTTGTAAATAGAAAATGTAGACAGACATCTGCTTCCCTGCAGCCTCTGCAATGCTAGCTAGAAAGAAGTTTTCTGAATAAAGTGCTTGTTATTTAAGTAAAGTTAAAACTTCAGGAATGCACCACTCTTTCATCTTCTAAAGATGATTTCCCTTAACTAACTGGGATGGCTCACAAAAGCCTCCCCACTGCAGATCTGTATTTAAATTCTTAGTAGAACCTAACTCTCTAATAGACATCTCCCTGCATGTGGAAAAGCCCAAGCCAAGGCCTGGAGACTTTCAGGGAGCAGAGGCTAGAGGAGCTCTGGAGCCTGTGTAGATGCTGTGCAGATGTGGTAAAAAACACCCTCTAAAAGGGGTTAGGCATCATGGATGTTGATTAACATATCCTTTCCTTGGTCCATGGGGAATTACATTGGTCTTGCAAAGGGGATTGGTTAGGTCAGTGGTTCCCAACCTGTTCAGCGAGAACACTCTTCCACTGATATTTTCAATGTGCTAGTACCCCCATTTCAGAACCACTGTTGGTGCTGCCTCAACTTACCTCAGTGGTTCTCACCCAGCTGCTGCTGCCTCCAGGTATAACTGCCCCCCACACCTTCTGCACAGCCAGCTCAAGAAGGGCTGTGGAATGTGCACATGCTCCTCCTGCATTAGAGATCATCCTAAAGCAGGACAGGAGTCTGGTCTGCAGCCTTCCCCCTGCGCCTGCCCAGTTCTCATCCTAGAAACAGAGGCAAATGGGTGGAAATGTCTCGTGTGCCTCTGGTTCTCTTTTATTTTAAAGAAACTTTTCGTGTTCCAAGCCAAATCAAGTCCAAATCCGTGAGTCAGTCCAGAATCAGAAGTGGCCCTACAACCAGCAAACATCCTCAACTTCCACCAGGTGCTTCAGATATTTCCGAAGTCTTCTGGCAGGCATCCTACGTGCAGGCCCAAGACCAAAGACTTGGGGTTCAGATGCTCCCAAGTTTCGCCTGCCCTCAGCCATATGGCCACAGAAGCAAGCTAGGGAGGAGCCCCAACACCTCGGTGGGTACTAAACCACGCCAGAAGAACAGTTATCCCTGGGAATGCTTAAGGAGAATGGCCTTCTTGGACCCAGATACATGATGTTTCCCCTGGTTCTGGAAAATCATGGGTGGGGGTGAAGGGAAAAAGGGAGAGTACATGGGGAAAGGCTACAGCCTGAGTCAGCTCTCCTGTCCTGGTTTAGTGTTACGAGAAAGCCCCGATGCAGCAGGAGTACGTGCATACCGCAGATCTGCACGTGGGGCAGTTTTACCTGGCTGCTGCAGTGGCAGCAATGCCTGCATCATGACCCTCACCAGCCCTTCCTCCCCACAAGTGAGAACCACTGGGTTAGACATTCATTTACATACCACCTTAGATATAGTTTTCTCCTCATTCCAACAGCTCTGAAGTCTCCCTGCAAGGTGAGTAAAATTCTCTTTCCTCTGCTACCACTGAGCCAGGCATGTTCTGTATCCATTGCCTCGCTGTGCATCCAGCTTATACAGAATTTGTTAACTTCCCTACTTTGCCAAATGTTATCTCCCCCAACAGTTCCCCACATACATGGTTTTAGGGAAAAAAGGTGTCTGTTTCTTCTACCAGAAATGGAGGATGGATCTTCATTGTGGACAAAAATTACTCCACCCTATTTGCTTACTCAGGGTAAGCTTAAATAATAGAGACACTACTATTCTTTCCTGCCCCCATCAAAGAGAGGCACAGTAGTTATACTGCTGGGTATTAACTAATACTATGAACATGCAGTATGTAAAGATCAATGTTGAGTAGTATTTTTACATATACTAGCACAAGACTGTAAAACATCTCTTAACACTTACACAAGAGGGTCACTTAATTCGGAACGGAGTAAAAGTTGCACTAATATGTACCAATATCTAGATTTGTAATTTACTAGACCTAAAGCCCTATTTTCCAGGCCTTCATGGATTGTCTCTCTCACTGGTTGTTATAAGCCTCCAAAACAGACGTATTTGACTTCTAGGTACTCATCAATGCCATATTTTGAACCCTCTCGTCCTAGACCAGACTGTTTTACACCACCAAAAGGGCACTCTACTGCAGATAATAATCCTTCATTAACCCCAACCATTCCAACCGCCAGCTGCTCCGCGACTCTCCAGATCTGGCCTGGGTCTTGAGAATAGAAGTATCCTGCAAAATGGACACAGAATACCTCATGAGAGCAATAGTCAAAAGGATGCAGCAGCAGACACCTTGGACACAGGTGCTAGCAGGTATACTCACTCTTAAGTAAAAATATTCATCCCACTTACTGGCAACACTAAGCTCAAACTTATAAAATGATGTATTTATCTGCCAAGGAAGAACTTACCTGCTAAACCCACATTGGCTGAATTTGCTATAGCAACAGCTTCTGCCTCAGTATCAAACCTGTCGACATAAGAGAAATGGACACCCGTGAGATCTCCAGTCAAAATAACAGGCATCCTTTGCTCCATTATCTTCCTGTTCTCTGAGATATAGCCAGAACTGCCATATGGGGAGTAGGGCAAAGCACATATAACAGTTCTCTGTGACAAGTTCCAGGGTTTAAAGTTTACTTTTCTGTGGGTGTGTCTACATGAGGCACTATGGTGATATTATATCAGTGGGCGCAAACTGTGGAGCTATGTCGCTTTAGCAATGCGCTCCCTCACTATAGTGCATTGCTATGGTGACAAAGCGGTTAAAAATTACCGTGCGCTGCCAGCACAGTGCAGTACAAGCTGTTACTGTGACATCATTTAGCACTGTGGTCACCAACCAGTCAATTGTGATCGGCTGGTTGTTTGGGGAGCCCCTGATAGTAGCCCAAAGAGCCCCCCAGACTGAGATTGACTGTCAGAGGCTCTGGGATCCAGAGTAGCAGGATGCACGTGGGGACGCAGTCCGGGAGCGGTGAGATATACGAGCAGTGGGATGTACATGGCTGGGCTGAGCTGAGGCCCTTGCTGGTGGGGCCGGGCCGGATGCGTGGGACAGTCCCCTTCTGTGCCCCCTGCCACAGGGTGAGGGGGGCCCTGGCCAGGTTGAGTCAGGGGAGGGTTGGAGCCCAGGCGGCTCATCCAGGTGCGCAGGGGCCTCTTACTGCTGCCTGTACCCTGGCGGAGGCCCGGGGGGCACATACCCCCCACAATCTGTGCAGGGCAAGGTGGTTGCCCCTGCCAGAATGAAGGCATAGGGATGGTAGATTGGTTGCAGGAAGTCGTGCTCCTGTCCCTTCTTTCCTTTTTTCCCCCATGTGCATGAAGGCCAAGTCCCATCTTTGAGGTCACTCACCCTTTCGCTGGAGCTACAGTTTGAGGCTTAACCCTATTACAGCCACTGCCAAACTGGCAACAGCTTTTGGCTTGGTCAAATATATAAAGTCCAGTATATAAAGTACAGAATTCAAATTCGGCAGGGTTAAACCTGAAACTCTGCAGACCCATGCATTCAGCCATGGTGAACCTATGCTGTGGCACTTAAGATTCTGGAAATATCTTTTTTTCTTCATTTTGCCTTCCCAAAACAAGGTTCATGATTTATCTGTGGATATGTAATATACAGGAAAAATATAGTACTTTTTTTTTTATTAGCAATGTCTTTGGCTACACTAGCTGTTAAGTGGCAGTTAAAACCATTTAACCAAAATGGATGAACTTGCCATTCATTTCCCCCACATCTAGACAAGCCATCCCACCTAGACTAACTCTTCCTTCAGGCAAGATCCAACATAATCAGACTGAAGAAGGTCTCAGAAAGAAAGGTGCCAGAGTTAAAATTTTCCCACAATGTATTTTGGACCAGAAAAATCTAGGACCAGCATATCATGTGCCAAGATCCAAGCTGTCTTTCTGTCCTCATCACTTTACAGAGCATGAAACTGATGGCCTTTACTGTTACCCTCCTTAATGATGCCATATAAAAGCATTACTTAGAGATGTCTTAATATTATGAAAATAAATCAAAATTCAGAAAATACTGAAGTAAAAACATAGAATGGTGTGCATGCTCTCATGTTCTCTTCATAATAACTAGAGACCTAAACATAATTGACAAATAATAATGCACATGCATCCATATTCACAACAAAATATTTCTGAAGCTTGCTTTCTTTGTCACTAAATTAATCTGTAAAATAGATCGGCTTACTTGATAACTGGTGCCACTGGACCAAATGTTTCTTCTTGAGTGCAAAGCATGTTTGTTGTGACATTGCTCAGCAAAGTTGGCTCAAAGAAGTTCTTCCCAAGGCTGTGCCGTTTTCCTCCTGTCACAATGGAGGCTCCTTGAGCCACCGCATCACTAATGTGTCTTTCTACCTGAGGTGAGCAAAATAAATGAGACTCAAGCTAGCATTGGTTGCTACGTGTCTGGCATATACTTCACAGGGAAAGAAGATTCCTGTTTGACGCTTTTAAACAGGGCATTCAAAAAAAACCAAAAAAAAAAAGAGAGAGAGAGAGGCAGGACTCCCTTCGTGATGCAGTTTAAAATTTTCTGATTTGATGCCTTGTTTGGCTTGAGGGGTTTAAATGACCACTTTCCAGGTGAGAGTGTCTTAATCACCAGGTGAGGAGAAGGGCCAATGTAGTACTCTCTCCTCTTGCAGCTGAAGCCCTGACACTGTGCAGCAGTGTACAGCACTTGTGAAAGATAGTGCTTTATGATGAACGGAAAGGTGCTTTGTTTATACACACAAAGATATCATGCCAGATACTTCCCAAAAGGTTGTAAATATTTATCTCCTATGGCAAATATAATACATTCTGGCAAATTTGTAAGCAATCTGTCGTTGATATCTAAATGAGACTGAAAGGTCACAGCTATACCTGCATTGCATTAAGAAAGGAGCGATTCACACTGTCAGAATCAGCTTTAGCCTCAAAGAGCACAAGACCACATGTAACAAAAAATCAAGACCGCTTTTGTGGTTCCAAAAAAAAGTTAAATATCCTAGAAATAAGCAGTCATCTAGAAGAGAGGGAGTTCCAAAGCTTGCACAGTAGTTCTCATTATCAAAGACTGAGTCTTCCACAGTCACAGCTCCAGTACATTTTTAACCTTAATTTGTTATTCCCCCTAGTTTTGATAGGCAGGAACATTGCTCTTCAAAACAAATGCTTATTCCCAGTGTCAAGGGGTATGCATCCTAATCCATTCCCTGCATTCTGCTGTCTTTAGCAAATGGCTCTATTGAGAAAAATCAGAATATAATTAGGAAGAAAGGTTTGCTCATTGTAGAAGAGTCCTTTTTCTTTTCCCATGGTGGAATATCAGATGGCCATAGCTGCTCCTGATCACATCAGCATAGGCCTTGAGGTGAGAACAGCCTTTCAACAAATACAATCTAAGAAAACAGGTATAAGAAAACTGGGTGCAAAACATGCTTATCAGGCCATAAAACTAGAAATTTAATTTTAAAAAATGCAACCCATATGTTTGTCTTCATACCTTTTCCACTGCCTTTTCGTTAATTAATGGTCCCTGGGTAGTTCTTTCATCAAATCCATTTCCTACATGTAGCTCTTTCTCAATGGCTTTGGCAAACTTTTCCACAAATGTATCATGGATTCCCTTTTGCACCAAGAAGCGGTTTGTGCAAACACACGTCTGAAAACAAACATGAAAGAACAGATGACATAATTTCATGCATCTCTGACATCTCCCAACTAATCTTACTTTCCATGTAGAGGCAGCAGAGTACCATTTTGATTCACTTTACAGGACACATTACAAGTCCAACCCTAATAAGCTGATGTGGTTTGCGTGAGACATTTACAGGTGTAGATTGTGCTACTGAAAGGCTAAATAGGTTCTGATGACTCTGATATATGTATCCACCAGTATGCAAAGGTGAGGGGGTTATTCTCTGATTAGAAGATAGAGAGTGTAGGCTGTGCAGTAGAGCCAGCAATCAAGCAAGAAGAGAAGGTACGAGCTGATGTTTCCATTGATTTTTGTTTACTTTGTCAGTAGGGTCCAAACTCTACTTTTAGGGACTAGATTTTTACAAGTGGTATTTTTAGGTTGGCCTTTCAGTTAGTCAATGCCTTTATCTTTCTGTGTCTCAATTAGGACAACCTCTTGGTCTAAATTTTCCATTGATGTTTCTTCTCCATTTTGCTCCTTCCTTCCCCTAACTTTGAATCCCCTTGGTGGCTTCCAAAACACCTTATACCTGGCCTATGCTTCAGGCCAGGTATTACTGTTGCCCATTCACTGCTTTTACTCTACCACAGATTCCAGCCTCTTTGTTGCATTCATTTCCTGGGGTTCATCTTTGTTCCTCTTCTCATGTTGTCCACTAGCATGAAGGAAAAATAAAACAAAGCAAAAAAAAAAATCACCAAACACAAGAAATAAGGACTATTTAAATTTCTTCTCACCTGTCCTGAGTTTCTATATTTGGAAGCCAGGGCTCCTGCAACAGCTTGGTCCATGTTAGCACTGTCAAATACTATAAAGGGAGCATGCCCCCCAAGCTCCATAGAGACCCTTTTCACAGTGTCAGCAGCATAGTGCAGCAGTAACTGCAAGTATACAGAAGACAGAGAAATCCACACACCTTCAAATGAGTCGGTAAATAATCCATGAATTTAGCCAGTACAGACTAGAGGGGAAGAGGAAAATAACCCTAGCACACAATGGACCTGCAGGTTGTCTCCACAAAACCCACAGACCTTCTTTTCTATGGAAAGTAGTACAAGGAACCACTTCCTATGCTGGTCATGTGAGGTGCAATCCTTACTCCACTGGAATCTAGTAATAAATTCCCCTTGATTTTAGTTGGGTCATAATTTTATCCAATAACTTTTCTGACTTAGTACAAGCACTTGAGTTCTGTTAAACTACCCTTTCCCTTCCACGTTTGTTACTCTTTGCCTTCCACGTTTGTTCCACAGTCAAACAGCACTTTTAACTGAGACTTCTTCCTCTAGGTAGCCAATGTGTTTTCTTCATTTGCTCTGAGACCACTTCAGACTATGTTCCTCCCTGTTTAAGGATCAGATTCCATCACCCTTATTCACATCATATGGTGCCTTTTATCCTTAATTCAACTCATTAAAATTAATAAGATTGCTTCAGCAGCAAGGGTGGTAAAATCTAACCTACAGTAAATGTTTCATCTCATTAATCTTTTCCTCCTTCTCAGAAATATACTCCATTCCTGGCAACACGATTTAATTATGCTGAAGTGTTCCTCTTAGACTGTGCCATTGTATACAGGAAGCAGCAGTTTCTTGGACTGAACCTTCCTGAATAATTGTTCTTCCTCAGATTTCAAATGGCACATTATCATATTTCTGTGACATTATTAGAGGCAAGATTTAACATACAGGGAAAAATAGAAGTATATGCAGGCTATGGAGGGGATTTCTGTGAGTTTGTTATGCATGTTGTGTAAAGGAGAACCTCCCTGAGAACTTGATATGAGAAAGATGTACATAACCCTCTCCCCTTCCTTTACCCCCAGTCTTTTCCTTGGCTTTCCAAACATAATTCCAGTAAAACCATTCAAAGGCATGCTTTGTTGTCTTTATCACATACCTTTCCTGTTGCAGTGGAGCCAGTAAAAGAGATTTTGGCTACCAAGGGGTCAGTGCATAGAGCTTCCCCTACAGCGGGTGTCTGTTGTCTGGAACAGGGAACAACATTAAATACTCCTGCCGGAATGCCAGCCTGGTTTGCCAGCTGCAATAAGAAACAAGAAAAGTGCAGTAAAGATACATTTATAAGAGGATTAGTTAATTTTATACGCTTTATAAAGTAATAAAATACAAATAAAAAACTTAATGCTTTGAAAATGAAACTCGCAAGTCCAATGGAAGTAAGAGGTGCTTGGCACCTCTTGTATTGGGCTCCATAAGTGCCAGCTGCTAGCAGGAATCCCACACAAGTAGGCTCTTGTGCTTCAGTGTTAAAGCTGTCTTTTTGTAATGCTCCTCGACTGTTAGGCCCACCCTGCATAACACTCCTAATATAACCATAAAACATACTGCAATGCTTGTTTCAAGGTAAATATTTAAGCTAAAGGACTATCTTAGTGGCATACATTTGTAAAATCTCAGCATGAAGACTTGGCAAAAGTTAAATTCCTGTTTATGGATCCCTAGTGTAAAGTACAGTCCATTATCAAAATAAAAATCAGTTGAAAAGTTCACCTCAGCAAGTGCTAATGCAGATAAGGGAGTGTCTTCTGCAGGTTTCACCACCACTGTACAGCCAGCTGCCAGGGCTGCACCAACCTTCCGTGTAATCATGGCACTAGGGAAATTCCACTAAGTTGAGAGAAAAATACAGTGAAGCTCAGAAAAGCTAAATACTTCCAGCTTTGCGCAAACAACTGGATATTTTTTGCAGTTTCTACAGAAAACCCAAGCAGAGACGCTCACTACCAGTGAGTTTTCTTTTATGTTGTCAAACACTTCTCAAAATAATGGAAAAGGAGAGAAGTGTGTGTAGAGGGCCAAGACCACTTATTTTTATACTCTGTTAAGTTCTGTAAGCTAAAAAGCAGTACCACTGACATAGAAGTCCTTCTGCTCATGATAAATCAAATACTCCCTACATCTTTAATCCAGGAACAAATCCCTCTCCCTCTGCCATATGCACCCCTCCCACCCACCCCTGGATTATCAATGCCACAATGTATCTTTGATATTAAGCTATTACTTGTTCCAAGATATGTCATTTAATATAAAAATGCATCCAGACTAATGCTTTGTTTCTCTCTCTCTCAAACTTGGTTGTGGCCTGTCTTAGATGGTCATACAGGAGAATACAACCCCACCCGGAACAAGTGAGCAAGTAGAAGAGTCTTTTTATGGGGCTTCTTCTGGGGCAATGGAGATGCACGCTACCCAAGTCCCAGGGCTAAGCTGAACACTCTAATTGAGCTTTGTCAAAAGATGCAGCTTTACTTACAGGGGTGATAATGGCTGCCACCCCGACAGGCTGTTTCAGCACCAAGATCCTTCTGTCTTTTGCAGCAGGTGGAATGATGTCCCCATAAACACGTCGAGCTTCTTCGGCAAACCACTCCAGAAAGGAGGCAGAATACAGGATTTCACCTTGAGCCTCTTTCAAAGGCTTCCCCTGCAATTAAATCAGAACGTCTGAAGAAATGTTTTTATAAACATCTAACACAATGATAAAACTGAGGTGATAAACACATAATTAATTTGTTCTTGATTCACTTGTAATAAGATAATTTTTGCAACTGTTTTGATGGTATTATTTTCATGCTGGGCAGAATCTCGGCTAAGGGTTTAAGAGAGCATTTGCTTAAAAGGTTTTAAACTTGGCCCTCTACAACTGAATTCTAGAGTTGAACTCTGCACAGCGTGCCTTACTTTATACCTGTTAATATACAGGGCACTAGAATGAATAAGAGATGCTGCATTTAATGTGTTATTTGAGGACATAGGTTGAAGGAGGTAAATGATAGTGTGAAGTCATTACAAATTGAAGTTATATGTTCAATTTCATACTGTTAATCATCCTTGATACTCTGTCCATTAGAACATCAAGTAAGTTTTTAGTTTACTACATTTATTTTATCATGTGCAAGATGGCATTAAAGACTGGTTAAGTTGTTATACGTGCCGAGGGAGTCATTGCTAGTTTATAAAATTAATGAAAAAACTTGTAGTGGTTTCGAAGATACTGCAGGATTTTTTTTGGTCCGAAAATCCACCTGCAGAGCCCTTCATTGAAACTCAACAAAAGAATTATTATTATATGCAGGAACTGCTATGGCCTTGCCACTAGTTAGGTAGGTAGGTGCTCAACAGGACAGCTATCTTCCCTGGGGACTTCATGAATGACAGGTGGAGCCTCTATCAGAGAATTTCACTCTTGCATGCAGTACACAGTGAAAATGCCTGTTTTGTCAGCATTTTCTTAAAACCCCCCCAAAAAACTCTAGCACTAGCATCTCCCCATGCTTGGGAGTGTGCTGTCTTTGGGTATTGAGGATCCACCTTTTGATGTTGCCATGAAAGATCTGTCAAATATATAGGCTATTACTGAAAATCACAGTTTGTGTGTTCTGAGCAGCATTTGAACTCCAAAGTAAAAGTATGGAGGGTCATACATTGAAATTTTGTTATTCAAATAGTTGTTCATTCAGTGAGCATAGTTCAGCCTTTGCTGAAAAAAAAAAAGGGATTATGTAGAAAATCTGATCCTATAAGCAAACTATTATAACACATGCATGTTAAGGAAACTGACCTAATTTTTGACTGCTTGATTGTGTGACTCAACATTCTTGTTAAGCTTTTTTTTAATGTAATACACAAAGGTACAGGTTTGTCAACCCTACCCTGGGCAGCTCCTTGAACATGGCAATTAGAGACTATAAAATATGAAAATGGCGTCTATAACCAAACTGCAAGACAAAAGAGATTGAAGGATGATGCTGTCCAAATGATGTGTCAAGGAATTAATTAGAACATCTTGAACATCTGAAATGGAAACCTGGTTAATGGAAATAGTTGAAAGTAGGATAGTGACATATGTAACTAATTACGAGGAAGAGTTACATATTGGTATCAAAAATTACATACTGCCACAGAGAAACCCAGCCACCAGATCTTAGTGAATACACAGATGATTTAAAGCATTTCCTTCCTGAGTGTTATCCCAATAACAGGAGATGGGCAAGTACCTAAAGCAGAAAGGGGCAGGAGCTTTGCATGAGTACTTTGCACTTGGCTTTTTAGCCATCAGTGCAGACATACCGATACACCTGCAAGGTGAAGTTCCCTGGCATAGAAGTACTGCACTCTGCACTGGTTTCAAACGAGGGTAAGAAGAACTTGGTTAATTGTCTTATAGCAAGAAAGGTCTTATATCAGTTACATGTCTAATACTGATATCAATGATGTTAAATTTACAAATAATATGCTCTGGTCACTTCACCCCGTAGATCTGATATATCACCAATGCATAATGTGCAGCGCATAAAGCCTTTACACTTTTTCACATATGTCAAGTGCCACCCCACTGGGGCAAGAACTGCCAAACAAGTTGCTCTTGTAACTTAAATGCTACCAATATTGAACTTAAAATAGAAAGGGAAATATGTAAGAAGAGTAAAACAGTTTTGAAAATTTAAATGCACTGGTTAAAACTTGTAGGTCTCCAGTACTGCTGGAACTGATTGACAGCAAGGCTCAGGGACCAGAACTCTGGGTGTTAGGATTCTATTATTCCAGATCCTGTCCAAAGTCACGCTTCCAGTCACTTCACCCTTCAAGGCCTGTTTCCCCTCGAACTTTCATCTGCCATGTCCTTGTAAGCTCCTGACGGAAGGGACTGTTTCTACTAGATGCACCTATACCACTAACTTGCCAAAGCTGAACCATGTGAAACACACACTGCTCCATGCGCACTGCCTCTTGAATTGGAAGCATCATAGCTGCTTCGGTGCAGCAATGTGGGTGGGTAAGCCAATCAGCTCTGCTCAGCGACAGAGCCAAATAGCCCAGCTACAGTACTGAGTGAACGCAAGCCACCCAACATCAGCTTTGGAAAGTAACCTGCATGGAACAGTGCGTTATGTTTCAGCCTGGCACAGCAAGTTAGTTGTGTAGATATGCCCACTCTGTGTTCAGACAATAATGTGACCCTAATCTCAGCTAACCTGTCGGTGCGGCTACCATAAATATAATAAACAAAATTAGAATTTGCTCTATATAAAGCTCACTTGTAACACAAGATGCATAAAGAAACTGGGGCTAGGTGCATGAACAGAGACCTGGCCTTTCCAAAAGTCTGAGTTCATATGAACCAAACTTTTTTTTTAAATCTGGAGAACTATGTGCAGACTTGTCATGGGTAGGTTTGCTAAACTGTTTTAGTATTCTCTTCACTGTTTTCACTTTTCACAGGCATGTTTTATATTTGCATCTATTTGTTATACCTTTTAGTTGATCTGACTTCTGCTCTCCCTCATTTGTATCTAACTTGTGCATAGAATGATATATGCAGTTGTATTTAATAGGGGATGGGTGCATGCATACATGTGTGTAGAGGTGAAGTGTTGCTGGGCTGTCTTTTCTTCTTCTGTAACAGCCAAACAACAGCAGGCCAGATCAATCCTGCATCACTGATAGCAGAATTTTCTGCTAGGGAATATGGAATTAAGAAGAAGAGAAGCAGCAAGTATTAGCCCTTTCTTTTTTTATCCTCAAAAAGCTAAGATGTACATTGCTCAAATCATGCCTATTTCTAATTCAGGGTCTGCTCTTACTATTATTAAAGACAAAGGGCCTTAAATTGGGACTCTGATATAGAGGTATTGAGCATATTGCAACCATCTTTGTCTGGAAGCTCTGAGCATTCAACCTCTCAGAACAAGACTTACAATACCAAAGGCAAAGAATACTTAGTATATTTCAACCTCCGCTATACTTACATTCTCTGCTGTAATGATCTTAGCGAGGTCATCTTTATTCTCAATCATCAAGTGATACCATTTCCGAAGTAATGCACTTCTCTCCTGGATATGAGAGAGAGAGAGAGACGTTTAGCAGGGTAAGAACTGTTTAAATGTAAGCAAGAACATTACTATCCTGAATTAACTGTACAGTTGCTGAGCATACAGACGTGTCCTCTATACAGAAAAGGCTGGGATGCTAAGAGAGAGTTCGAGATCCTATCCAGGGATAGGGCCAGTAAAAGCTCATCTTTGGAGTAACTTTTGCTTTTGACACCACTGAATGTTTCAGAGGAAGATTTACCCAGGGCAGAAGTTTCTTTCTAAATTTAGCATTGGGAGGAGGTTCCTTTGTGCTTTTAGGCATAAACCTTTATGATCATTTTTAAAAATTATATTCTGGTCAGTGTTACTATTCATTTATGTATCTACCTCTTGATGTGCTTTAACTCTTGGCCTCCCTATTGTGTAGCAGTGAAGTTCCATGCTACAGGATTGCTTATTTAAATGTTTAATGAGAAAAAGATGCCATACTTAAAACTAAATTAAGCCTCTACTTGTACCACATGTAGATCGTGAGTTGTGGCCTTTTACAATAACTGTATTTAAGCTGCTGCCTCCGAACCAGACCTTGTTCTTGTCCCTCCCAGATACTGTACACATACACATGAACACATGCTCTCTGTGCCAGATGCTACATATACATACATGTGCATGGGCTCCATCCTAGGTACTGTATACCTGCACACATGCAATTGCTGTCCCACATGCTATCTATATGCACATGCTTCATCTCAGATACTGCACATGTACATACACAATATCACTGTTGCAGATGCCATGTACACACAGGCGCACACGCACTTCATCCCAGATACTGTACACATACACATGCATGCTCTATCCCAGGTGCTACGTACATACACATGCTCCATCCCAGATAATGTACATACATGCACACTGTATGTATACATGTGTACACACCCAATTGTTCTATCCCATATGCACACATGCTCCATCTCAGATGCTATATACATGTGCACACACATGCACTCTGTCCCAGATGCTATATACACACATACATGCTCCATCCCAGATACAATACATGTACCCATGCACACATGCTCCCCATCCCAGATGCTATGCACACATACATGCTTCATCCCAAATACTGGACACGTGCATGTATGCAATCACTGTTCTAGGCATCATGTACATATGCTTCATTCCAGATACTACACACACACACATATGCTCTACCCCAGATGCTATGCACACACGCTCCAGCCCTGACACTGTACATATTCACACGTGATTGCTGTCCCAGATGCTACATACAAACACGTGCACACACACAACTTCTGTCCCAGATGCCATGTACACATGCATGCACACATGCTCCATCCCAACATGCAGCTACGGCATGTTCACACACGTGACTATGGCATCCCAGATGCCACATATACATGCTCCGTTCCAGATTCTGTACACATGCACACATGTGAACTCTGCCCCAGATGCTATGTGTACGCACATGCCTGCCCAGGTACTGTACACCTGCACACAATTGCTCTGTCCCACAGGCTATGGAGACGTGCATACACACACACTTCAGCTGAGATATTGTACACATGCACACATGTGCACTCTGCCCCAGATGCTATGTGCACACACACACACACACACTCCATCCCAGGTATGGAACATATACAGGTGCACACACACAAGTGCACGCGCCGCCGTACATACGAGCGCACACAAGCGCACGTGCAAACACGCATGCGGACACAGACCCAGGTTCCCCCCGCCCCCGCGGGCCCGGGCCGCTGACCTTGGCGGGCGCGGCGCTCCAGGCGGACCAGGCCCGGTGCGCAGCCCGCAC